TCCAGCTTATATAAAACATGCTATATGTTTGTGGTTTTATAGTGACTAAATTGAAGTTATTATAAACTTCATTTTGTGAAAGTTATTCTTGGGATAAAAATGCCATTAATTCTGCAATGTACTTTGGATATTAAATGCCCTTTAAATACCATACTTTTACTAAACATAATTTTTTAAAAATATTCTGTCTTTAATGAACTAACATATTTTCAAAGCATATGAACCTTTAGGAGATTATGTAAAGGTAGGAATAATAGCACTGAGACAAATAGTTACACAGTGAGCAGCACACCTCAAAGATAGTAAGTCAAATTTACAAAACAGAAAACAAACTATACAAACTAAAATGCAGAATCAAACTATGAGAGCTATAACATTAACTGTGAAAACAATGTGCACTTGAGGACAGGACTAGTGCTGCCATTTGGTACACGAAGACGCTAGTAATATAATTGCTGTGTCTCAGGAAAATAAACTAATACCAGGACATGTGGGAGGCTGCTGTCAGAGCTGTGCACTGGGGATCACCTAAACTGGAAACCTAGAGAGACTTGGTTTCTGCAAGACAAGCAGAAAAGTAATGACAAAAAAGATAATGATAATATCTAATAATATATATATATAAGTTTTATGCATATATACATATAAATTTATATTTATATACATAAATAGGAAAGAAATGTTCTTCAAAACAAACAATTTTCTTAGAAAAACTTGGATTAGCCTAAGTATATCATTTTTGGAGACTAGGTTAAGATTATAATAGAAGTTTCCCTTAACAGCTGGGAAAACTGGAGTCTTCACTAACAAACACAAAGTTGATTCCTTATTCTCACACCACACACACAAAAATCAACTCACAGTTTATGAAATTTCTTGATATAGGAGCTGAAACTTTTAAACTTCAATAAGAAAATATAGCAAAGCAATTCAGAATCTAGGCATAGGCAATCCCTCTCTAACTAGGATCCAGATTCTTAGGAAATAATAATAATAATAAAATAATAATAATAATAATAAATGGGCAAGTTGGGTTGATTTGGAACCACAGGAGGGGCCCTTTGTAGAATGTTGAGTTAGCCTACAGAGGGGGGAGAATTTGTCAACTATATATCAAGCATGGAACGAATATGCTGAGTACACCAGGAACTCAAGAATTTAAACATGAATAACCCAGTCAATACATGATCCACTAACATGAGCAGATATTTGATAAATGACATAAACAACATAGATGAGCAGTTTCAATGCAATAACCCAACATGGAAATGCAAATCAAGATTGTATTGATTTTCTACTTCTCCTCATGCAAAATGTTTATGCCACTGGGGGGCTTGAAATTTGTGCTGAAGGGTGATAGTATAAAGGTATATCCAGAAATATGAAAAGCAGCTATGGTTGTACTACTTCCGGATAAATAACCTGAGCAGGAAAGAAAGCACAGGATAGTGATATCTGCAAAGCTATGCTTCTTGTAACACCATTCCTGATGGCTAGAACTGGAGAACTTCAAGTGAAGCAAAATTAATGAAGCTCAGAAATGTGTCACATGTTTTCTCTTATATGTGGATTCTTTAAAGAGCATGAAATAGTAAGTAGTGGCACTGCTAGAGAATAGTTATGAGAAGAGTGGAAGGAGGTGAGGGATAGACGTAGGTATATGAGCTATTAGAGTCATAAATATCATCCCGTGTTAAAAGATCAACGAAATTAACTATTTTGTACAATTTTTTAGACTCAGAACTGTATTTATGTATTACAAACCTAATATGTTACACTTATATATCCAGTGAACAAAGTATGTACTATTACTTTTAATCTAATAAATTTATCTAGCGTTCTACTGTTTGTTAGTTAGGTTTGTTATTCACTTATTATTCTTTTCTGCTCCCCCAAGCACAAAAGTGAGCATGAAAATCAACATGGAATAACTTTTTTCTAGTCTACAAAGACAAAGTGCTCCCCACTCACTGGCTGAGTGTAAAGACGCCCTCTTGTTGAATTTGTAATTAATAGCTCGAAGAACAGAATAGGCTCTAGGAAGGAATTCTGCACTCTGGATCTCGTCAAGTAGATGATACACTCACTCAAATTTTGGGTAGCCATCTCCGGTCTTGTGAAATGAATCATCCTGATTCAGGTGGAAAGGGAGCCCAAGTGACCCATGATGGAGAACGAAGCGGATGAGTGGTACATGATATCAGCTCAACCAAATGGAGTAGGGAAATGGCATGATTACAAAAACAACCCAGAAAATCCTGAGCATTGAGCTGCAATCAAATGAAAAGGCACGGATCAGGCCGTTGTCCTGATCAGGAAATATATTAGCTAGCCTAGAGCATGTCTTACAATTGCAGCTTCATCTTCTTGGGAAGCTGAGACTGAAGGATGTCACCTAAGATCCTTACACCTTTTATAAAAGGAATGAGTTCATAGGTTAGAAATTTTAGAGAAGAAAACAGAATATTCTGGCAATGACATATTTATTTGACTTAGAGAGCTGCTATTTAAATGCTGGCATAGATAGTGACATTGTTGAAAAGTAGGGTTTGGGGTTTTAATATAGAATAAGTTTCTATACGTAGTATTCATTTATAGGTGAGTTTTATTCTCTTAGTTTTATCATTCACTCACCATCCTCCTTTCCTCTAAACAGTTATTTTAAATTAAACACACCTAAGTGCTAAATGTAGTTAGTTACTTTTTGTGATAATGTGTTTGAAATAAAATAATGCATATTTTGTTTGCAATCATTTGAATGAGAAACACTTTAAGAGGCTTATGTTTTTGGACCTTCCTTAGCTAGTCCTTGATGGCATTTTTGGAAATTATGGAGCTATTAGGAGACATAGCCTTCCTAAAGAAAGCGTATCACTGGGGGTGGAATTTGAGTATTTAGAATCTTTTATTTCCCACCTACCCTTTTGGGTTACTATATAAATGAAGATGTGACCAGACAGCTTCTTGCTCCTTTTACCATTCCATACCTTCTCTGTCTTTATGGATAGATGAGTCAAAATAAGCCTTTTGACATAAGTTGCTTTTGGTCATGCTATTTTGTCACAGTAACTAATGTAAAATAACTAATACAGTGCTTATCAAGTTTCAATTTACTATTTATTTTTATTAAAATATATTTAACTCCAAATTCTAGTAAGTCACTCTATCAGATAAAAATTTTTAATAAGAAAATCACCCCTTTGGGTGTATCTCTGAGAGGATGAATTGTATTGTAATAGCTCCTTTACTGTCACACCTCTCAGTCTACAGATGACATCCTTGTCAAGAGTATGTGCCTATTGTGAAGGAGACACAGAATTCCATCTACTATATTACTGGTGAGAGTAAAAACAAGTAGCCAACTCTGTCTTTGTGGAGTGTGTGCAGAAGCAGGGCTTTTGAAGTGGTTTATATGCCTGAGCCTATTGATGGGTTCTACATGTAGCAGCTCAAGAAATTTGATAGAAAGAGCCTAGTCTCTGTGACTAAAGAGGATGGGGAAGAGATGAAGATGGAGATGAGCAGGCTCAGGATTGAGAATCTCTGCAAGCTCCTGAAGGAGATCTTAGACAAGAAGGTTGAAAAAGTGATAATCTCCAATAGGCTTGTGTCTTCACCCTGCTGCATTGCGACAATTACCTACAACTAGATATACAACATAAGGCAGATCATGAAGGCCCAGCTACTGTGAGATAATTCTGGGCTACATGATGGTCAAAAAATGCCCAGAGATCCATTGTGACCACCTCATTGTAGAGACACTGTGATAGAAGGCTGAGGCAGACAAAAAACATGAATTTTAATATGAAGAAACTCGTTAATTGTGTTTCTTTGTGTTGGTATAGTTGTGAATAGTGTGTGAAAATAGAAGTGACCAAACTTCTATTGAAGTGACTGGTCTTACTTAAACCATACCATAGAACCATCCCATACTTGACACTACCTGGAGGCCCAAGAAATAGGGTCTAGATAACCCAGAGACCTATGGTATAACTAAAGACAATTGACAAAATAATAAATAAATAAAAAGTGAAAAGAAAAAGCAAACAAATGAAAGTCAATGAATTGAATCTTAATCCTATTCTGCTATACTTACTTAAAAACTTAGGCCTAGGATAATCATCAGAGTATTCATCCAGCAACTGATAGGCATAGATGCCTAGGCCCACTGACAAACATTAGACAGAGCTCTGGAAATCACACTGAAGAGTGGGAGGAGGGATCAGAAGCTCCAGAGGGTTGAAGGTCATCACAAGAACACAGCATACAGAATCAACTAACCAGGGTTCATAGGGACTCAGAGAGACTGAACCAACTATTTGTGTAGTAAGATCCATCATAATAGCCCTCAGAGACCCAACAAAGACAGACATCACAGAGCATAGAGCAAAAAAACTGTGTTTCAACCAATTAGTTCATACACTAATGAAAACTGTTTAGAAACATGAAAAATGAATTTAAATGTGTTTAACACTAAACCAATAGCATCTGTCCACATAAAATTAAAACATTCATTTATAAAGGAAATAAATAATTTATTTTCAATTTTAACCTCAGATATATTAATCTAAAGCAAGTCCCTGGTGGAGCTTTTATATGGGTTCAGTTTCTTATCAATCTATTACTACCATTTTGTATGAGTGGTAAATGGTGCCTCGAGGAAAGAATTTCAAGAAAGGATGAACCACGGAGTTAAAAGTGTATACCTTAATTTTTTTGTAGGTAACTATAGACTAAGATGAATACCATTTTCATTTCTACCTTACTTCTTTCTAAAACTAAGAACAAGGTCGTGAGAGTCACTATAATTGACTTTTATTTACAGCTGAACACCATCTAACTGTGTGGTATTAAGCCAGCTGTACTGTGTTATGTCAAAGATGACCAGCTACACTTTTCTGTCTTCTTTTCTTCTCTAATACAGTTTCTAAAAATCATCATACAAAGTAGCCATTGAATAACACTGTAACGCGCACAGAAGTTAACATTCATTTCAAGATTTTTTTTTTCATTTTCACAAGGCATTTTATTAAAGTTTAATCAACAATGCCCAAACATTCTCATGTAAGGCTGTAGTGACCAGTCTCTACTGAAAAAACCACTTCCGCACTCGTTTTGGAAGAGAGAGCGCAGAGGGTCCTGGGTCTTGGGATGTTCCAGGTAGAGCTGAGTCACTCTCTGAACTCTCAGATCTTTCTGGGGCCTGCTCTTCCTTCTTTTCTTGGTTTTGTTTCTTTTTACCATTCTGCCGGTAGTAAAAGACTAATATGGTGCGTTTTCTTCCTTTCTTCTTGGCTTCCGAGTTCTCTTCAAGCACAGATTGAACTGTGTTCATGATATTGGGCAAGTTTTCATGCGCGGTGCCTTTTGCTGGATGACGAAGCCTTTGCTTTTGGCTTCTAGGCCTTCCTTCTCCTGTATTCGAGCTCCCAGATGACTCTTCATTGGAGTGGGATTCAGAGATTGTGCCAGAACTAGATTCACCAGGATCCTCAGTCGCGTCCTCCATCTTATAGCTATACTGGCTATAGTTAACTACGGGATGTCTCATATCTATCCTCTCAGAACAATGAGAGCCACGCCCTTGAACTTTGATTGGCTAATGAAATATTCCTCCAGCCAATGGAATGTCTAGGCCACTTGGATGTCACAAAGACACCTCTCCTACAACTTCCAAGAACTGGGGAAGGGAGAAGCTATCAAAGAAGAAGAGTTAAAACAATTAGAGTAAGGGGTCTTATATAACTCACTCAAAATAATCTTTTATTATATACTTTAATTGAAAATAGATTGTTTTCTTATATAAGTCCTGATTATGGTTTCTCCTTGCTCCACTCCCTTCAGTTCCTCTACACCTCCCCTTTTCTCTGGATCCACCATCATTCTGTATCTCATTAGGAAAGAATAGGCTTCCAAGAGACAGTAACCGAAATGATAAAAAAAAAAAAAGAGTAATTAGATGAGGCAAAACTATTTTATCGAAGTTAGACTTGATAACCAGCTGGAGTAAAAGAGTCCAAGATTAGGCATAAGAGAAACACACTTGTTCTAAGTGCTAAGAGTCCCCTAAAAGTACTAAGCTAATAGCTAAAATAATTTGCATGTATTTTATTGAGTAATTTTTTTTTCATCTGTGTTCATAAGGCGAGTTGGTTTGTAGTTCTCTTTCTTCGTTGAGTGGTTATGGGAATGGGTATCAGCAGTAATTATGACCTCAGAAAATGAACTGGAAAAATGTTTCTTCTGTTTCTATTCTCTGGAATGATGTCATGAGTATTGACACTAAATCTCTGAAAGTCTGGTATAATTCTGCATTAAAACCACATAGCCTTGTTGGATTTGGGGGGGGGGGCTAAGGACTATATTTCACGAGAAATTAGGGGGTATAGTTCTAATTTTATTGTTTATATCATCTTGATTTAACTTTGATAAGTGTTCGCTCCTGAGAAAATTATTTTTTTTAGATTTTCCAGGTTGGTGATGAACAAATATTTGAAGTATGTTCTTTTGATTCTCTGGTTTTTCTTGCTGTCTGTGATGTGCCCCTTTTTGTTAATTTAGAAATTTTGTTTTTATTATTTAAACCAATTTTAAAATATGAATATATTTTGATCATAGACTTCCTTTCTCCATTGTTCTTTTGGGTAATCTCCCTACCCACCCAACTTTAAGTGCCTTCTCAAGGAAAAGGAAAACCCAATATAACTAAAACCCTCACCCACTCTAATCCAGGAAAATATACTACCTGATAAGAAAGAGGCTGCCCCACCTATGGATCCATCTCATCTGCAGACACCAAACCGCCACACTCTTGCTGATGCCAAGAAGAGCTTGTTCTCAAGAGCCTGGTATGACTGTTCCCTGAGGTTTTACAAGTATCTGACCAATACAATGCAGATACTCATAGCCAACCATTAGACTGAGCTCAGAGACCCGAATGGAAAAGTTAGAGGAAGGCCTGAAGGAGCTGAAGTGAATTGCAACCCCATAGGAAGAACAGTATCAACTAACTTGACTCCCAGGGACTAAACCACCAACCAAAGAATATATAAAGAGGGAACCATGGCTCCAGATACATATGTAACAGAGGATGGCCTTATCTGACATCAGTGGGAGAGGCCGCCCTTGGTCCTGTGGAGGCTTGATGTACCAGTGTAAGGGGGATGCTAGAGCAGTGAGGCAAGAGAAGGTAAGTGGGTGGAGATGCACCCTCATGGAGGCAAAGTGGAGGGAGGAGAGGAGGGATGGGGTAGGGGGTTTTTAGAGGGTAACTGGGAAGAGGGATATCATTTGAAATGTAAACAAATAAAATAATAAAAAACTGTAAAAAAAACATCAAAGCAAAGACAGAATTATTGAGTCCAGATATGTTAACTATTCCTGAACCTGAGATCTGCCATGGAGTAGTGGGTATACCCAGTATCATTCCTCTGGGGACAATGGATTTTCCTTCTCCCAGCAAGTATGACAGTTAAGTTTTTAAATTTTACCCTAGTGACTAGGTTTTCAATCATTCATTAATTTATTCATTTTTTAAATATAACCAATCATATACACACACACACACACACACACACACACACAAAACTTAACTGTCATACCTACTGGTTAAAGGACAATCCATATATATATATTACAATAAAAAAAACCTCTATCAAATCTAAGTTGGATAAGACAAATCAACAGAAAGAAAGAGCCCAAGAACAAGTACAAGAGTCAGAGACACATCGAGGAATATTGTAAAAATACTAAACTGAACGGCATAATGTATAGGCAGAGGAGCTGGTAAAGTCCAGTGCAGGTCTTGTGTATGCTGCCTCTGTCTTTGTGACTTCATATGAGGCAAGCTTATGTTTACTAAGAGGACCTTGTTTTCTTAGTGTCCTCTATCCCCTCCTGGCACTGACACTATGTCTGCTCCTCTTCTGCAGGGTTTCCTGAGTTCTGAAGGGAGGGATTTGATGGATACCCTATTTACAATTGTCTGTGTAATATTTGGTTGTGGGTTTCCATATTTTTTCCCATCTTCTGCAGAAGGAAACCTCTCTGATAGTGGCTGAACAAGGCACAGATCTGAGTATAAAGCAACCCCCCCACCACCACCAATACAATTTATGCCTTAGGGTCTGTGGATTTTGTGTTAGTGTCACAGTGCTTTCTTAGCACTGGGATAGATCCCTAGCAACATACAAAGGGATTCAGAAGAATCTTTTTGAAAAGTGGACAAGGAACAAAAAAATGCCTCCTAAAATAAAAAATGGAATAATTATGAAGGTATCCCTGACCTTTCTTAAAAAGTCATGAAAGGAAAAGTGAAACAATAAAGGCTATTTTAATTTATTGAGTAATATAATCTACCTTAGAATAAATGAAGACTTCATCAATAAAGCATATTACAGAAGTGAAAAACTGATGGATTAGTCAGTCTATGCTGAAAATAGTAAATTCAACAGATAATACAGATCTTAAGAGAGAGAAAGGTAAGTGATATTTTTTGGGAATGAATTATCAGAATGAGTTAAATAATGATCTTTTTATATAAGTATAAATGATAAACCAATTGAAATATAAGATCTCCAAATAAATAAATCAGAAAATGTTCTTAAAATGTATTTTGGTCCAAAACACTGTCCAAGTGCTTAATCTCAGTATTTATTAGAATAAATATAATTTAAAAGACATGAGAGAACACTGCATACCCACTATTTAGATCTATTTTTAATTATTCACTTTAAGTCCTGTTCACTGCCCCCTCCCAGTGACCCCCTCCCACAACCTCCCCATCCCCATCTCCCTTTTGCCTTTGAGCTACTGTGGATTCCCCTGGCTATCCACCTAACCTGGCACATCAAGTCTCAGTGAGGCCAGGCTCATCCTCTCCCTCTGAGGCTACACAAGGCAGCCCAGATAGAAGAACATATACCATGGACATGCAACAGCTTTTGGGATAACTCTTCATACGTGTTGTTTAGGACCTACATGAAGATCAGCCTTCACATTTGTTCCATGTGTGTGAGGAAGACCTAGGTTCAGCCTGTGCATTTTGGTTGGTGGTTCAGTCTCTAAGAGACCCAAGGGTCCAGGATAGTTGACTCTATTAGTCTCCCTGTGGAGTTCCTATTCCCTTTTGGGCCACAAACCTTCTCCCTATTGTTCCATAAGAGTCTCCAAGCTCCATCCATTGTGTGGTTGTGGGTGTCTTCATGTGTCTGAGTCAGCTGGTGGGTAAAGCCTCTCAGAGGACAGTCTGGTATATTACTGTTTTTAGGCACAACAGTATTGTCAATTCTATCAAGGATAGATGCTTTTTCATGGAATGATCCTCAAGTTAGATCTTATAAGAACAACAATAATTCTAATTGCTAAGGATGGCTTGAAGAAACTAGAACTTTTACATCCTGAGGTTAAGTATAAAAAATTAGGAAAGCCAAATTTCAAAGTATTCTTCCCTCAATGTAAATGAAGGGACAGACCCATGAGGTTCTTGAAATTCACAAGAAACTTATAAGACTCAGAACTCTCAGGCAAATTCCAAGACTAAGAAACCTCCTTTTCAAACTCCCGTAACTAATGACTACTGAGGAGAGGAAACATCTTGAGGGTAGAGTTGCTGGTAAGCGTGGAGGAATCCAGGGACGTGGCTCTTTTGAGCCTTCAGTCATAATAAGCAGATAGTTTCCCTCACTCATGCTTCTAAGTGATTCATACATAATGTCACTGCTTCATTAAAGAGGACTTAGAACTGTTCATGTCCATATACCTGTCCTACTAGTTCACTATGTACTAGAAATACTTGACACTATGGTATTTTTTACATTTTTGTGTGTGTGTGTATGTGTGTGTGTGTACAGATATGCAACCTGCTCAGTCTACGTGTTACCTGTATGTATGTGATGATAAGACTACTTTAATTTTTAATAATATATTTTTATTTTACATACATTGGTTATTTGTCTGCATGTATGTCTGTTTGCCGGTGTCAGGTCTCCTGGATTAGGAGTTTCAGACAATGGCAAACTGCCATGAGGGTACCTGGAATTGAACCTGATGAGCCATCTCTCCAGCCCACACTACTTCATATTGGATAACCGAATCGTCCTTGGGGAAGATCTATTCTTCTCGGCATTTCACAGTTCATTATAGTTCTACGTCTATGGTTGAGGCCCCACAAGAGGGAGTATCCTCTCTGACATTTTATTTAGGGCATCCATGCTTTATAACTCCTGGAACATAGTGTAAGTCATATAGTATGAACGCATAAAACCTATAAGTAAAAATGCCAAGAAATTTTCTTTTGTTTCCCAGACCAAAGCATATGTCTCTTCATTTCTCTGATCATACAATCAGTGACAGCAAAGCTATCTTTTACAGTGGAGTTCTGCTTCAGAACTAAAAGGTCTCTCTTTCCCTTTTGTGACTCTTGGTTGGCTGAGGCTATGATGGTATAACTAACCTATTAAAGCTCAACTGAATGGTAATTCAACTCAATGACTTTTCTAAAATCATGTAACAATTTTATTTTTGTTTCTACAACAATA